TAAATAGTTGTCCACTACTACTCCAAGACCCTTCTCACAGTTACTACTATTGAGTCAGGTACCACATATACTGTACCTGTGCATTTAGTTTTACTTGCCTAAATGTAGAATCTTACGTTTCCTACCACTGAATTTCATTTTCTTAGAATAGTGCCTAATGTTCAAGTCTGTCAAGATCCTTCTGTATCTTAAGCCTGTCTTCTGGAGTGTTGGCTATTCCTTCCAGCTTGGTGTCATCAGCAAATTTGATGAGTTCCCCATTTATTCCCTCATCCAAATCATTGATGAAGATATTGAAGAGTACTGGGCCCAAAACAGAGCCTCGGGGTACTTCCCTCCATGTAGATGCCGTTCCACATCGGGTGTGGTTGGTCAGCCAGTTACAAATCCATCTGATGATGATGCTGTCTAACCAACACTTTTCTATTGTATGAAGTAGTAGATTGTGGTCTACTTCATCAAATGCCTTACTGATATTGTATTGTATTGTATCTTTTTGCATCATATTGTATTGCACTGTATTGTATACCATATTTTCATACCTTTGTTCTTAGGTTTCCACTTCCAACTCCCCTGTCAAAATGACTTTTTACCATCACTAAATGGAGAACTAAATTTCCTGTTCTCTATCTGAAAACTTTAGATGACGTAACAGAAAAATATCTAACAATCTATTTATGCATTGATTTGATTTATTTGATTAAATTTACATGCTGTCCATCTTACCTAGAGGTGACATGTCATAACTACTCAGTTTCTCACCTCCTTCCTCCTTCCAGGCCAAGACCAGGGGCTCCTTCAAGCCCTCATGCTCCAAGTAACACCGAAAATGGTTCCTCTCTTTGGGGTTGATCTCAATTCTGAGCCAGACATAATAGGTCCCGTCTGAGTTGGGGGCCACGTTCCTATGGAGGGTCTTGTATTTGACCACCTCTCTTTTCCTCCTCCAAGTGGCCCGGATCTCCTTGGGGTAGAAGCCAAAGGCCTGGCAGATGAGGACCTCCAGGCTGTCATTGATCACCTTGTGGGTCACTTTCCCCACTGGGGGCTCTGCAGAAACAGCAACAACAGGATTTTCTCAGAGTTCTCAGGATTTTCTAGAGTTTCTGTCAACATGATTTAATTCATAGGGAAAGTCTCATTTTGCCCTTCTCTGCTCCCTCTCCTCCTCTAGGAACCTCTGGGACCCTCAAAAATGAGGGCATTGAACTCTTGAGACTTATTTTTGAAAGAAATTCATAGACTTTGGGGTAACATTCCCACTCTGATCAAAATAAATGTAATGCTTGGGCTTTGATTCCCTTTTGATATCCTAAACTGAATTTGTTCAAGTTGTTTGCAGATGGAAATTGGGAAGAGAATCACATTTTAGTTCTGCCCCAAAAAGCAGAATGCAAAAATTAGATTTCCTCATAAAAATGGAATTGGATCTCAGCATTGATATCTTGTTCTTTGGTCTCCTTTTTTTCTTTGAATAACTTTTTTTTGGGAGGGGGGAATTGGGGAATGTTTTTCCTACTAGATTTTGGTAAATGCCCTGATTGCTTTTTGCTAGGCACCTGAAGAGTGGCTTGGCTGTGTAAGGCAGAAAAACATCAGAAGAGGAAGAGAAGGGAGGCTAGGAAAAAATTGCACAACCTGAGACCATTCAGCCTCTCACCTGTCTTCTTCACAGCCTCCATCTGGTAGGAGAGGCATTTCTGTAGCCACTCAAGGCAGTTATTCTCCAGGAAGAATTTGATTCTCTCAGACCTCGCTGGATCCTTCTCCCACTTCTCCTTAACCTTCTGGGCCTGGGGCTGAGCTGTCACCCATCCGAGGGTCTCCTTGTGGAAGCTGATGAAGTCCTCCCCATTGTACCCATAGTGGAAGAACCCTCCTTTGCTCCCGTCTTCCCTGAGCTCACAGCCCAAAACCACCTGCCAGGTGTGAAGCCCTGAAATACCAAAAAGATTGGTGAGAATAGCCCAGAGTTCCTCTCCCTAGAGACCTTAACCCCAATGATTGAAGTGTTTACTTCTCCCCATCCCACCAGGGGAGGGAAAACAGATCTTGCCTCCCCTCTTTCTTTCAAGGGTGGGAGGTCTTTTCTGTGATCTGGCGCTACACTTAGTCTTCTTGATGTGGGGCTAGAAGATCTGGAAGACCCCGAGAGAGAGAAGATCTTGGGGAAGGGAGGCGGTTTCCTTTCCTTTGCAGGAGAAGATCTCCCATCCTCATGCTCCTTCCAGTCATTGGTGGTTAAGGGTGGAAACAATATTGCTCCTTCTTGGGAAGGAGTGTCAATTACCAAAACGGACCTAGCGGCAGCCATTTTTCCATTTCTCAATTGCCACACAGGAATGGCGCGAGGGGAGGGGGGAGGTTTGAAATGTCACTCCATCCCAGACCATGACACGTTCATGTCCAGAGATGGAGAGGGAGAGAAGTGACCAAGAAACTCTCCAATTAACATAATTGGACAACTGATGCTTGGGG